ACTCCATATTTGGCAGGCCAACCTTAATGTGCTAGGCTTGACGGGCCATGTTTTGCATACGCCTGAGGAATACCTACCGGGCAGAAAAGTGCTAAACTAAATTAGCTCGGGTTGATGGGGTCAGATGAGGTGCACATCATCCAGAAGCTCGGTGGATAAATCGGATCAGCGAGGATTTTTGTTGTCTGTCTATCTGCCGACTGTCCGCAAGTGGCGAATAAGCAGTGACGGTATATTGCACGAAGCTTAAGGTGGTGTACACCGACTTTTCGATAAAATTGGGGAAGGGGCAGAGTACGCAGCCGGCAATGTGACGCATTGATCGCTATCGAATAAGTCTCCAGTCGCGACGGCTCCGCGATTAAGTTGCAATAAGTCAAAGCATCAGAGACAATAAAAAAACAGTTAGGATGGCTATCTAGAACCATCCAGACCAAACTGCATACATTTGAAAACGGAATGCAACTAGCCTAGACAGGATAAGAACCTTATACATGTTTTTACCAGGCCCGGTACTTAAACCTCAGACGCCTATGTGACGGTCGTGAACGACTGGCCACTAAAACGCATACAATTTTGGGGCGCACTTGTGCCCATTCTTGAAGACTTCCGTCAGTGTTTGCAAACCTCCTGCTATTTCCCGTGGTCAAATAAAGATATAATTATAAGTAGTAGTTCGGATGCCAGTGACCAGTTGTCGGGCATTTTTAATTAAGCAGGATAGAACAACGACTAGAGAGCAGTCGAAAGCCACAATCATTCAAATTGGAGTTAGAAGGGAACCATCAAGAGATCGGGATTTACGGACGCACCCGTTAGATGCGGGCTTATTAGAAATTCTTACTAAAGCCCAACCATTCTGGTCTGAAATAGGTGGCATTTCGAAAGCCGTTGTCAGCATTGTTTTCAGTTAACCATGATATGCGAGCGTATGGACCACTGGCAGCATTCTTACTGTAGGCCTACTGAGGGCAGAAAAATAGTCGGCTTTAAATAGGAAACACACGTAATGCCCACCTAGACAAGTTAAAGTCGTCAAAAAAGAGCAAACTTTTCTGAGGAAAATTGAGACGTTTCAGTAGAAAACTCGCATAACGCAAATTGAAACAGAGAAGATTCATTTTTTTACAGTACAATGTATTAATCCTTTTCAGCCATTCGAGTCAAGCAGGTGTCGATTTCTTCTAACGTCAGGGCCCTAAAAAGAGAAAGGGTCCGATGAAAGGGGAAAAAATTGAAAGCACGAATGCATGATTCACATCTGGTTTCGTTCAGTCAGAAGATAAGCCCGAGTAGGGATGTTTTTTGCAGAACGAAAAATTATCCGTACAGCCACGACTCAATTGGAGACTTTCCTGTTACGTATTGCTGTCATTATCAGGTACCTGGCGAATCTTTCAGGACAACTCGTTAGAATTTTAGATAGTGGTTCGGTTCGGCGAACTGCAGTATGAAATCCGATCACCCGGAATTCGAAATTAGCGTATTCTTATCGACCTCTTTTAGGTACTTGCTCGATTAAGACCCTGGTTCTGAAGAACTGAGTCCCAAATTTTAAATAACGTGAAAATCAAGTTCCTCATTAATGATCATTTTCAAATTAAAAGATTGCAGTATTTTACACATTAGTCACGAAAAGGCTATTCACTCAAAGGATCTGCCAAATTTTGTCAATGCGTGCAATTATGACAGGATGAAACTCAGTCTAAGCTCATTGCAGCACCAAGTAATCGTTCTCTCTTCCCTTTTGAAGAGCTGATTTCGCATACTTGCCAGTCGATTTTTGTGAAGCGAGTTCCTATTGTCAATGGAAAACGCCAGACTCGTTCACTTTTCACTTTGTGAATATCACTTGAGATTGCGAAAAAGAGATTTTGGTGCGATTAAGACAGTCTTCTACTTAAGCGTTGGTTTTAGTACCTTAAGTTATGCACTGGTTTAGAAATAAATCTCGCAATTATAGGCACGCAACCATGCCTTTTCTACTATCCGCCTATTGTGCGATAATTACCTAGGAGAGACGAAGTACAAGTCCCATTTGGGGGTCTTTCGATTCACGCATGTGGAGAGGGGTGGGAAGCGGGAATACGAACAGTATTGCGGTTAGAAACCCCAAGAGGTGATGTATTATTGAGTTTTTAGGTGGAAGAGGTAATTAAGTGGTTTCAGCTGCGCCTCAAATAACAAGTAATATAAAGTGCCAGTAAAGCTTGCCTGAAAATGGGGTCCTCCTTGGAGACAACTCCGATTTCGAGTTCGTTTGGTTTGAATTCCATGCTCAATACGTGTGAAAGACAGCTAATGGCAGCCTCTATGGCTTCATCTAATGTGAAGTTTTGTCTTTTCCTTAACTAAAGTAAGAAAAAGGAATAGGTTAGATTGATTGTGAACAAGAAACGAGGTCAAAAATGGTCTAAAGGATTTAGATTAAATAAGAAATAAAAATGATGCCGTCTGCCTTTATGTTAACATAAAAGGAAACTTACACAAAAAGTTTATGAATTTTCGAAATTTTGATACTTTTACTAAAGATACCTGGGATCGAAGTCGAACTCGCATGTCCCCACGATTTGCTGTATGCTGCTTACCAAAACGCGTCGATCAGTGGCAGAGTGTCTGCCGAACTTTATTTCTTTCTCTCGGGAGAAAGACCGAATACTTCGAATTTAAAAACCTTATAATGAATTAAGTATTCCCCCAAACGGCAATAGGTCATTCTCAGTAGAAACAGTGACAAAGGCAAGCAATGTGTTGAAGTGGTTCGACCTAATAGTTGAAACCACAACAAAGGAATATCTGAAAAGATGTCCTGTACATGTGGACCCCTATAGTAATTGATATCGTGACAGACTGGAAAACGTCTTCGGTGGTTAACAAAAACGGTAAGCAGTCTCTATCGGCGGGAGGGCTAGATTAAATACTACAACTAGTGCTTATTTGCTGCAGGCAGAAATGTTACAACGAGTAAAGTAGTAAATGGATTTTGTGGTGTCAACTACTTTGGCCAGTAGACCGCCTAGCTTCATTAATTTCCACACGCAGATCCGCGATTGAAGAAATTTGAGAAGGCAATAAGGCGGACTGCCGTTATTTGCTTCTACCCATGGCGGAACCCAAAGCACAAAGATCTAATTAACGCATTTACCTTCGGTCCGGAAACAAGGTCATGCCAGGTGGGAAAGGGAGGCAAAACATATGCAAAAAGTTTGATAGCACATACGCCGCGGTTTTTCTTACAGGCTATCTGATATTCCGAAACGCAAATTGAGGCGAATATTGTATTCGAGGGGAATGTATAAGTAGAAACGATGGTTCACGGATTACTGCAATAATTTCTTTATTCACCTGAGCTTACCAGACACGACAGGGGCTTCCTATGAGTTTTTTTTTGCGAACTGTTCTTACTGCTTGTCAGAC